GAGCCAAAGTTTTTAGCAAACTTGATGCAAACAACGGCTTCTGGCAAATCCCGCTTTCTGAGGATAGCATGTCGCTGACAACCTTCATAACTCCATTCGGGAGGTTCAAATTCCGTCGACTACCTTTTGGTCTGTCTTCTGCTCCAGAGGTTTTTCAGAAAAGGATAAGTCAGGCATTGGAAGGTCTTGAAGGTGTCGTCTGTCACTTCGATGACGTCGTAATTTTTGGGAAAGACTCAGAGGAACATGACTCTCGCTTGGACGCTGTGTTAAAAAGGCTCAGGAAAACTGGGTGGACTTTAAATAAAAGCAAGTGTGAGTTTCGAAAGAACACCATTACGTTGCTTGGGCATGTTGTTTCCAAAGAAGGGGTTGTCCCAGATCCCTCGAAAGCTAAGGCAATTCTTGAGATGCCTGTACCTACAAACGTCACCGAGCTGAAAAGGTTTCTAGGCATGATTAATTTCTTGGGAAAGTTTGTGCCTAACCTGTCATCAATCGCACAACCACTTTACGAATTGTTACGTCATGACAAGGATTGGTATTGGGGCGAGGAGCAAGCGAAAGCACTGAAATCTGTGAAGCGAGCTATTGCTGAACCACCAGTTCTTGCTCTCTATGATAGCAACAAGGAGACCTTACTGTCAGTTGACTCATCATCACATGGACTTGGGGCCGTGCTGATGCAACGAGATCCAGGGGCAAGTTTCAAACCAGTAGCGTTCGCATCCCGTACGCTGAGTCAGAGTGAGAAACGTTATGCCCAGATCGAAAAGGAGGCCACTGCAATTGCGTGGGGCTGTGAAAAATTTTGTGATTACATAACCGGCAAATCCATCACTGTTGAAACGGATCATAAACCGCTAGTAGCGATCCTAGGTGAAAAAGACTTGGACAGTCTCACACCACGCCTTCAGCGCATAAAAATGCGGCTAATGAGGTATGCTTATGTGGTGAAGTATACTCCTGGGAAAGAATTGGTAATTGCAGATACCTTATCTAGAAGCCCGGTTGATACTGAAGATTCTCAGGAATTAGCAGAAGAAATTTTGGCGTATGTGCAATACATAATTTCTTCATTTCCGTCTACTGATGATAGGCTGTCAGAAATAGTGTTGGGTCAACACGAGGATCCGGTTTGTTGTGAACTTTCCAAGTACTGTTCTGAAGGATGGCCAGCACGTCATAGTATCTCTCAAGAGTGTGTCCCATACTGGCAGCACAGGAACAGAATTACTCTGCAGGAAGGACTTTTAATGAAGGATAGCAGGATCGTTATTCCTCAGTCATTACGTAAGGACATCTTAGACAAACTTCACAATGGGCATCAAGGCATCTCCAAGTGTCGTTCCTTGGCTAAACAATCTGTTTGGTGGCCCGGGTTATCAACTCAACTTGAAGAGCTGGTTAAGAATTGTGTGTCCTGTATCAAAGACCAACTAGATCCTGTGGAACCTTTAATTCCCTCCGAGCTCCCACAACGTCCATGGCAGGTTGTAGGAACAGACTTATTAAAACTGAGTGGACAGTGGTTTCTTATAGTTGCGGACTATTATTCGAGATTTTTCGAAATCGCGAAACTTAAGAACTTAACGTCGGAGTGCGTGATAACACATATGAAGTCAATATTCGCGCGGTACGGGGTGCCGGAAGTAGTTAGATCTGATAACGGGACACAGTTTTCGCAAACGACCCTGACTTCAGAATATCGTAAATTCGCGAAACGGTTCGGGTTCAACGTCATAACCTCCAGCCCAAATTTTGCGCAAAGTAACGGCTTTATTGAATCCCAAGTGAAAAACTTTAAAAATCACTTTAAGAAGAGCGAAGATCCATATTTGATGTTGCTGACATTACGCTCGACACCTTTAGAAAATGGCTACAGCCCGGCTGAATTACTTATGGGGCGGAAAATCAGAGGTGTTGTTCCGATTGCTCCAAGCCTGCTGACTCCATCTGTACCAGATCAAGAAAAGGTGTTTCAGAAAGAAAAACAGAAGAAACTATCAGAAAAGGAATGGTTTGATAGACGTCATAGGGCAAAAAGTCTCCCAGAGTTGTCAGTAGGCCAGAAAGTTTGGATCTCCGATCGTCGAGAAGAGGGGGAGGTGGAAAGCAAACACGAGTCCCCTCGCTCATACATGGTTAGAAGTCCGGGTGGGCTTTTCCGTAGGAATAGAAAATTCCTACACCGCCTTCCCTCATGCTCTAACAATGAAAATTCGCAGGCGCTCTTGGAGGAAGCTGAACATGACTCACCTCAACAGTCTAACAGTGAGCCTACAGATTCCACACCATGCGTCCTCGTAGAACCTCCGGCCCAGGAACCTGCTTCTGAAGTCCAACCCCTTCGCAGAAGCAATCGGGAAATCCATCCACCAGTACGTTTGGATCTTTAAGGGGGAGATGTGTAGTCATCCAGTTGTGACGAGAGACACAGGGGTTTTCAACGCTGCCGGATCAAGAGGCACATTAGATATTCAACTATGGTATCAATGGTAGCAATGACCTGTATAATTTTGTGAATAAATTATGCTTGTAATGAAGTAGTTGATGATTCCAAATGCAATAACAAAACAGAATCCGAATGTGTATTTTAAATGTGGCCGCCATGAATCAGAAAGGAAATGTCGGCCCGTGTAGCGCAGTTCAGTGGAAGCTCGACTGCGGTACAGGGTCCCTGGTTCGAATCCGGGTTCGGGCATGGATATTTGTAAATGTATAGTGGGTTGGGTGGGTAGAGCAGCCTCGGCTGAAACCCCGCCCATTTAAAAATAAAGGCAAAATAAAAAAATAAAAAAAAGAAATTAAACATAAGTAATAATCACGGCGTAAATAGAATTGCGTTCACCGTATGTAAATAATGTAAATTATGGAAAAAACTGCATATAAATATCGAGTAGTAACGCTAGGGTCAAAGTCCGAGTCATTGTAAATAATTCATTTAGAGCTAGTAGAACGACTTAAATCCGCCTGTCCGCTACCGCTGCGAAGACGATCCTTCACGGCACTCCGGAGAAAATTGGGAGGATTGCGAGATTTCCGAAGGAAGTTCGACTTTCGGTTCTACGCGCGGTCCGTGCACAGTCTACTTGGAGGGTGCCGAAAAAGTCGCGTTGAAACTTGCCTGCCTGTGATTGGCCGAACCGAAACTCGAATAGCTGCCAGTAAACATTATCGCGTTGTAGTTTATCATCTTTGTTGTTCGCCCCGACGTAGACTATTGCATTGTAGTTTGAATTTATGCTATTGTATTTAATCACCTACTAGGGTTGCATTCAAATAAGTGCTTGTGAGCACTGTTTGCTTTCATTTTAATGACTCGAGCCTGGAAGAGTTACTACACGCATTTACAGCAGTTTGTTTTGATTTTCGATCTAATTGTATACCAATTTATGAAACAAGAATTAAGTTTCTTTCTGTACTCGGCGGTTTTAGAGTAAATATTTTGATTTTTGACTAACGTAATAAAGGCAGACTATCCTTTCTATGCAGTGAATTTTTGTGAATGAATGAGTTAACCCTACTTTTACAGGAACGTACCGCCACAACCCCCATTTCTTTTGACGTGTGTAATTTACAGCAAAAAGGTGATTCTCTAAGAGAAAAAGGCCGTAATAGGTTTCAATAAAGACTATTGATTTTTATTCATACATCCTTTCCCATTTCCTCGAGGCCAGAAAGGATCATCGACTGAAGCTAGCCGGCGCCCAACAACAATTATTTTATGTAAGAAGAACCACCCCTAAATAAAATAGTTTGAGAAAGAAACGGTAAGAAGAGGTGAAAAGTAACCAGCCGGTTACATACTCTACTTTTAATTTCTGAAAAAGCAACATAGTAAAAAAATCAAGTGATGTAAAAATAAAAGAGCACCAAAAAACAAATTAATTTTTTTAAATAAAACGGTTACTTTTTGCTGTAATATTCTTAAAGAGCTTGAAATTTTCTTTACAATGATATCAAATATATTATAATTACCTTAAAAATTAAAGCTGCAGTAATGTTTTTGAAACCAATCGCAGTAACTGTGGAAATTTAAACAAAAACAAAAGAGAGTTTTTCACTTGTTACGCCTGTCACAAAATCAGTTTAGTGAACAATATAACTTATAAGCACCATAATACAACAAAATAATAATTTCACAAATGATGAAAAAATGTTAAGAGGTGTAATACATTATATAATATATCACACTGTATAATTGCAGATATGGTTCAAATTTACACCATGTGCGGGTCTAACTTTGAACCATGGCAATAGCTTTTTTCGGGAATACACACTACTCTGGGATATTTTTAAGCTTTAAGATATTATCGAACTATATACACCGCGATAATGTACTATAAATATGCAAATAAAGAGATCAGTGTTCGTGGATAGAGCGGGAGGTATCAGGTATGGCAGGTTTATGAAAATCAATCGCCTAATAGAACCAAACCAAGTATTGAGAATAACTGAGGCTAACACCGGATAGACATTTTAATTTGTTAGCGCATTTCTACGAACAATTTTAATCTTACAAGAAGACGAATATTCCTGATTGAGCTAGACGAAATTGAGTTGGAAGAAACAGACAAGATTCAAAAACAGTAAAGTCATATCTAGTGACTTTAAAAAACAGTAATAAACAGCCCCATCTATGGAATTATTTAAAAATTAGATATAGAAAACATTCAATCACTGTAAAAGAAAAGGGTATATCGGGGACAAAAGCATGTAAATAGCAGAAGACAAGAAAAATAGGCCAATTATGACGATCATACAATAGGTACGAAAAATAGAGACGTAGGTAGGTCAAATTTGAAATTTGAAAAGTCTTACTGTTCTTCATATCGGTTGATGATGCTTTTGAAGTGATACAAATCATCAACAAACAACTGCCGTTCGTAGAAATACCCAATAGTTAATTTCGGAATGCGTTTTTCCACGTCTGCAACAATGGCCGATAAAAAGCAATCAATGAACCTAACATGCAACATTTTATATGAAGTGGACTTAATTATTTACAACTTCCCAGTATCGCAGACATTAAAAACAAACGTTCCCTTCTAGTTTGAAGAGAACGATGCTTTGATATTGCGAATTAATACGTTTCGTCAAAATGAATTCATCTCCAGAAATATCTTATTTCTGAAGTTGAGTTCCTATATAATTAATCATCGTGCTGAGTTTATATTATAAAAGTTCGTTTTGTGAGAATTAAGAAATATTTGCGTGAGGGACAACCGCAACTAATTGAGATACTCACTTTAAATTCCCCTTTATCGTAACTGATTAAAGAGATTGGCCTATTCATCGCCTCCTGATAGCTCCGATTGTAAATCTTGTCCGGAGGAAAACCAATTAAAGTTTCCTGGTAAGCCTTTGTGTGTATTCCTAAGCAGACGTTGCGTTTTTACTGTAAGATGGAATGGAAATTTTAAACAAACAATACGCACCCTTAGTAAATTCTCTCTCTTCGGCCTGTCTTTGCATAACTTCTCGAACGATCTGTTCCAAACGTGAATTACTTTCGTTTTGACGAAGTTCTCGAGCTAAGGCACGTTTCCGACGTCGTTGTTGTATAAGCGCTTGGATCCTTTCGAAACTTTTCGCTATGTTTGATTCATCTCCTACTTCCTATAAAAAAAAACGTGATTGGTACTTTTATACGTAAATTAGTTACTTTTAATCTCTTTGGAGATAGAAATAATAATCAGAAGCTGCAATTAAGAATTTAGTGTCTAAATTTCAGTCAACTGGTTCAATACACAACATAACATCAAGTGAACATAAGTACTATAGGTCGTTAAACTGTGAATCTGTTAGTAAATCGCGGCTGAAGATCCAAGTTTGTTAATTCCACGACATTCGCAGCCGATCCACAAGGACCATATGACATATATTTATGCCAAGATTTGGCTTAAACTCGTATAAGATTATCTCGCCTGAATGGGTATTAGCTAATAACGTAATAAGCAAACTTGCCGCGAACCGAAAGTCCAAGAAAGATTACCTTTACATCCAAATTTGAGTTACAAACGCATCTGTTTGAGTCGTCCGTATGCCCCCCCCCCCATCCTAGATATATCGAATGTCCCCTCATTGCAAACATAAACAAGATACAAAGAATCGTATACGATTTCCAATAAGGGAAGCTCGCATTCGAAAACACGACTTTTATTCCGGCTCATATTCAATAGCACTGGTCCTTGAACTCGTACAAATCCATTGACGAAGGTTTCACATCGCTGTCTTTGTCAAATCTTTGTAAAATTATGTCCATCACTAAAATCATACACACATACGCTGCAGGAGTACGATTCCGTGCAAGAATCCGCCAGAAAGTCTTAGAATTTTTGCTGGTGGGGACTTTTCCAAACTGGATTATGGAAATGTCTACACACTTATGACTGGAAATAGCAATTGAGGTTACCTGAAAATGAGGCACTGAGGTGGAGCTGTTCGATGTGTGCTCAAACAAACGCTAATAATCGTGTAAGAACCATATTTTAGGGTAGTCCTTAATAACGAAAAACTAAATGTCAACGCAACCCCTATTTGATAAATGTGGCAAGCTGACTGGTCAAGTATGCGCATTCTGCACATATGGGTCTTAAAGGATCGTGTTAAGGCAGTTAAGTTGCGTACGCGCTCTGGTCACGATCGTATAAGGGATGCTAAGTAGAGCATCGGACGTATTAGTGAGTTTGGTGTAATAGCCCATTAATGTGAGTGTCTCCCACGTGTTGGTGGTGAGTGTCTCCCACGTGTAGGTGGTGAGTGTATTGTGCAGGCCATCGTGCATTGTTGTTGGGCTATGGTAAAACCCCTGGCAGATATCCGGATAATATACCTAGGCTTTTAGAGTGTATTATGTGCATGTGCCTATGACGCGGTCCCGCGGGTAGCTCCCGTTGATTATACCGCTGAGTGATCTACTCGCTCGAGTAGATCATGGTGTCGACCCAATACGAAACATAAAGGCCTCATTGTTAACACAAACAGTTCTGGGGTGAGCTCGACCTAGATGTCATTCCCAGGTAGGGCAGTGAGTGACATAGATCGACGTTACTGATCTATTGGCCGAGGGTCCTAGCGCGGCGTAACCCTTTCCCAAATAGGTCTGAGCTCCATCTTAACCCTTCAGGAAGCCATCTCCAACGACGCATTCAACCCCAATCGCCAACCGGAGTGTTCGGAGATTCAGGAGAGCTTAGTGACAGCTCGGGGCTAACGCCCCCCGGTGAGTTACTTAATTAATTAGCGAGGATCGCGGTTAAGCAGTCGCGATATTTGTTTACATGACCCTTGAGCGCGAAAGACGACCAGTCAGAGTGAATGCTGCCATGCCAACCTCTTATGCGTAGATTACAGAAGGACGTTTCTAATGAACGGTGAGTTTACAGTAGATTTGTCGCATGTTAATAATGAGTTCTGACCAACAATTAGCTCCCATTTTTAGCGATTTCCCTTGTTGTTATATAAAAATACCCCACATTACAATCGAAATCAGCTGTTGAAGACAGAACACGATGTCATTTGTAAACAAAAGCAAACCTACCTTCGTTGGTGCCAACGGAAAAGCACCATGACACCATCTTTGCAACAGAGAAACTGCTCCAGAAAGGAATGGTATGGGAACTTGCCGATTGTGACACGCTATCGGAAAATCGGTTAAGAACATGGGAGATGGAAACGAATGATGGCGAGCCGTCGCATATCCAGGACTGTACCCACGTAATCAAATACGGACTGGATTCGGTTCGATGCTGAGCATAAAAATAACGCGAAATGTGAGACATAGAATTGAAACAAGCTAGAGCCTGAACGTGGTACAGAGTGAGGCGGAATTAAACCAAGCGATAAAGCATCTCTCCCAGAAAAATCGCGTCACCAGTTTTGTGGAAGGATATTCCAAACAGGCGCTTGTCGGTAGGGAAGCGTCCGATATGCTGCAATGTGCTTGACTACCACGACTGGACCAAAAAGACACAGGCCGGCATACAAGTGGAAAACTAGGCAGAGATATCGGGATGCCATTGATCAAGCGGTGATAAGCATAAAAACACGACGGCAACTTGACATGAAATCGGTATTTAACAATGACATACCACCATCCATCGTATGACATATAGCTGGGAACATTTTTTTTTCGAAAACCGGGTTTCTATATTAAAACTGGTAAACACAACAGTCGAGCGTAGTATAAAGCTGGGATGTCCACAGGAAGCTGCACCAGTGCCATTAGTTAGATATGAAGAACCCATACAACCAGCGAGTATGGTACATGAATATGTAAGGTGCGAGAGGTTAAAGCGCTTCTTCTCGTGCAAAGAGAAATGACATTCAAAGGTTCCTAGACGTGTAGGACGGTATCCACGGAAGCAGGGAAGGGCCGAAGCATGTACAATATTAATATCGTATACCTCGAAAGAGAATAGTTAGTGTTCAAAAAGTATCGAACCATAGATTTTACCGTGTAAACCAATGAAGCGCTGGAAACTTTCTTTGGTGGAGATGTGGAGGGGACATTCATGCGTCGTGAATTTTTGCATAGCGTAAGTTGCTGGCAGTCGGCCTACGTGTGAAGACGTGTATTTATTTATTTATTATCCCTCTCTTGTTCTGGGTCCTCAACAGGCTCGCGCCCAATTACAGAGTGACCCGCATAATGCTTTTTAGAGGTGCCTCTGCAGAAGGTGTTAAGTTGTTCTATACTACTCCGGTATTTACCTTACGAATTAGAAAAACTGCAGGAAAACCTAATTCGGAGTAGCCAGGAGAATGCTCGGAACTGGTTTAAGGTAATTCCCATCTCTGCCACAGGTGAAAAATTCACCTGAACTCAGGTTCGAACACCCGACCTCCGGATTTATAGCCGATCAACAATATTTCCGGATTTCAGTTTTCGTAAAGGACAGAAAAGCGACATTGTATCAATGCAATCGCTATCTTGGCGATACGCAAGTGGAAACCATTCGGAAAGTTCAACATGTTTTCAGGGACGATTCCCTAAACACCTCACGGATAAAGGAGTGGTACCACTGCTTCAAATATAGGCGCAAATCGGTGGACAGGGAACCACGTTCAGACAGACCCTCTACAAGCCGAAATGCATAATCGTCGTATCACAGTCCAGGGAATTGTAACGGAGATAGGGGTAAGCAAACTCGAGCACATGGATCCACGGGGGTCTGTCCTAGGTCCTATACAATGTGGAACGCGATGCACGACGGGGTGTTGAGGTCATCGGGTTTTCCGACGACCTCGCAGTTTACGGCGTATGATCGCAAGGTGGGGATGGCGTTGGTACTTACGTATGAAACGTACTGTCGGAGAAATAGCGAACTAGATGAATAACAGAGAGCTGACTGATAAAACCAGTGTCGCCATGATGACGTTGGCGGTAAGCGTAGACATATTGGACGAGGCAATCAGGGACGAGAGATCCATTACGATCTTGGGCGTGGTTATCGCCAGAAACTTGACATTTGTCGATCACGTCTGATATATTGTGGACAAAAAAAATAAATCAGCAGTGGTACTAAGTTGACTCCTGCCGAAGAGAGTGGCCTTTGTTTAATCTACTGGCGTCAATCATGATGTATGCGGCGGACATATGGGACATATGGGCTAGACAAGGAAGCTACTGCTAAACATATGGATAGGCTCCTGTATCTGATCGCCATAAGAATAGGTAGCGGCTACGTATTGCTGCAAGGGACGACGTTTTGTGACTGCCGGCATTGCACAAGCTAGGATCATGGTAGAAGCCAGAGCTACGAAAAAGAGTGGTCGTTGGGCATACGGCATGGAGACGAAAGTTGTGAATTATCGTGGATAGACATATTAAGATAGATATTTAGACGGATTTCAAATGGTGGAGTTCGTGCGAATTAAACGAAATCGGGGAAGTGGCTTGTGAATCGAGTGATATTTCGAGAAACAAGAAGGTATAAGTGTAGTCCTCGTGGAATCGGGTGTTGAGCACTTCGAGTTTGCGTCGTAGAAGGTTTGCCTCGTAGTAGCCAGCTGCATCGTTAATGAATTGAATTGTAGAAATTCATCATCATTTTAAGGAAATCACAAACTTGGTTCGCATTAATTACTCTTGTAGCATTTATTATAAACATTATTTATTTATAAATAATGTTATAATCGTAAGAAAATAAACGTAATAATAAAACAACGTATCAAGAACAAGAATTGACGTGTCGACATTTACACGGACAACGGACAAGTACTACTACCACAGATATATATATATATATAATACATAAAACAGTGTTGCCGCTATGAATGTTTTGTCATATTCTCAACACTTCCTCCCAAAACTTTTGTCACACCCTGTACCGGTAACACTCCTAACCTCATTCGCAAATCTTCAAATCTAGGACGTGGTAGTGCTTTTGTCAATATATCGGCAAGTTGATGCTCTCCTTCCACATGACGTACTGTGATTTCGCCGTCTTCGTATTTTTGTCTGATGAAATGGTATCTTATATCGACATGTTTCGTTCGTTTATGGAATTCCGGGTTTTTGACGAGTTTTACCGCACTGGCATTGTCGATTTGGAGGCACGGAACACCTTGCAGTTCTATAATCTCACTTAGTAGTTCCTTTAGCCACACGATTTCTTTAACACATTCACTTGCAGCAATATATTCGGATTCTGTGGTGGACAAAGCTACACTCCTTTGCTTTCGACTGGCCCAAGTTATCGCACCGCCTGCATACTTGCACACAGCACCCGATCTTGATAGTCTAGTTTTATGATCGCCGGCAAAGTCTGCATCGCTGTACGCTTCTAGTTCACCAGCCTTCTACTTTGGCTTGTATACAATGCCCACGTTCGCAGATCCTTTTAGGTACCTGAATATCCTTTTGACGGCTTGCCAATTTGAAAACGTCGGATTTTCTAACGATTCGGATACCTTGTTAACAGCATATGCGATGTCGGGTCTTGTTGCAATGCTCAAGTACATGAGACTGCCTACTGCATCACGATACGGCACCTTCTCATCTAATTTAGGATCAGATTCGAACAGCTGTGCAATTTTCTCACATGGCGTTGATACAGAGTTGCAATTCTCCATACCAAAACGCTGCAAAATGTGACTGACATAGCTTTCCTGACCTACAAAGATAGACCCGTTAGATAAATTCGATATCTGCATACCTAAGAAGCAACTAAGATCATCTTCCGTTATTTGGAACTCCACTTTCAGATCATCGATGAAACCATTTACGGTTTCTTTGTTGTTTCCGACTACGATCCCATCGTCAACATAGATTGCAACCAGGACCTTTGATTTGACAGTCCCTTTAATGAATAAACAAGGATCGGCTTTACTTTGTTTAAACTGTTGCTTGTGTAACATAAAGTTCATTAGACGTTTGTTCCAACAGCGTGGAGACTGTTTTAGACCGTAGATGCTCTTGTTGAGTTTACACACTTTTGTAGTGCCGTCTTCAAACCCTTCCGGCTGCTTCATATACACCTCTTCCTCCAATTTGCCGTAAAGGAACGCAGTCTTTATATCAAATTGTTTTGTGTACAATTTTTCCGAAGCTGCCACACTCAACAACGTTCGAACTGTATCGAACCTGGCTACTGGGCTGAAAGTTTCAGTAAAATCGACGCCAACCCTTTGTGCATAGCCTTTTGCAACAAGTCTGGCTTTAAAACGATGCTGTTTTCCATCTGGTTTGGTTTTTATCGTTAAAACCCATCGACTTCCCACAGATTTCTTGCCTGGTGGTAATTGAACTAGATCCCATGTATTATTTTCCTGAAGTGAAGCGATTTCTTCTTTCATGGCGTGTTTCCATTCCTCGCAATGGTCAGAGTTCATTGCTGTGGCAAACGAGTGCGGTGGCGAATGTTCCGCAAACAACACATAATCGTTAAGGTATGCTGGCTTTTTACATTGTCTTCGAGCAGATATTTCGTCCGTAACGATCTTTTGAACCGCTACTTCCTCCGCATCTTGTCCAGGTGCTTCCTCCATAACGATGCCTTCACTAATGGAATCCTCTTCTTGTGCTTCGACCTCTGTGACTTCGTCCACAGCGGATTCTTCCCCTTGACAATTTTGAGATACCACATTTTCATTCGGTGACGGATACTTCTTACTCGAAACAATGGTCACTTCGTTGCCATGGATTTCAGGTGTCGTCACATCTTGAGCATTTTCCAGAATCTCCTCTTTTGAAAAAATTATATCGCGACTTAGCATAACTTTTTGGCGTGACTCGATCCATACACGATATCCATCCTTTACACCACAGTAACCAACAAAATATCCAGGAATACCCTTTTTATCCCATTTTCTTCGGTTTGGTTTAGGCACATGCACAAAGCACTTGGTACCGAATATCTTCAAATGGTTTGGTTGAACCTCGGGTTGAACAGCATCTCTCCCGTACCACAATTCATACGGAGGTTTTTCAAATTGAGTGGGGCCCGTATGATTTAAAATATAACAAGCCGTATTTACAGCCTCAGCCCACAGCCTAATCGGCAAATCCCTTGCATGAATCATGCTTCTAGCGCTTTCTACAAGTGTACGATTCTCACGTTCTGCGGAGCCATTTTGTTCAGGCGTATTAAGGCATAGTAACACGGAGATTAATACCCTTAGAGTTCAGAAACGACTTCATATTATTGTTGTCGAATTCTTTACCTCCATCACATAAAAGTTCTTTGATTACATGCCCTAACGTAAATGCTTCATTCACAAATGTTTTAAAGCATTCAACCACTTCAGATTTTAACGTAAGGAAAAATACTCGTCTATATTTTGTATAATCGTCCTTAAAACAGACAAAGTACCTCGCACCACCCAGAGAACTCTCCTGCATAGGACCACACACATCTGCATGAATTAGGTCTCCTGCTGATGCAGATTTGTTCATCCTTGTACCGAAACTTGCACGTTTTTGTTTTCCGAAAACACACCCGTCACAGAACTCCGTACCACCTTTAACAACACAGCCGTGGCGCTGTAAATACGTCTTGACATGACGTTTATTCTGATGGCCTAGCCTTTCGTGCCATAATTGTAGAGTATCTGTTGATGATGCAACAAAAACTTTTTGAACAGCTGCTGGTAAGCGAACCCGCATGTTTAGTTCATATAGACCTTTAATTGTTTTTTCACCACTTAATCGTACAGTTCCGTGTTTTACAAATTCACACCTGTTACCGTTTGCTCGAAACTCGAAGCCTTTGTTTATTGTTTCCCCGATTGAAAGTAAGTTACGTCCTATTTCTGGCACATACCAAACATTTTCTAAATAGTTTGGTACCCAAACACCATTAATTTTCATTTCGACGTTCACCTTGCCTTGCCCGTATGCATAAATAACTTGACCATTTCCAACTTGTACCGGTTTTTGAATAGCAAAAGATTTGTAAGTAAGAAAATACTTTCTTTTCATGGTCATATGCACTGACGCGCCAGAATCAGCAATCCAATTATTGTTGGGATTTCTACACCCGGAAAAACACGCAAATGCTTCCCCGGTCGGTTTTGCAGATTTCTCCACTTGTAATTTTGAATCTCCCGCTCTTCTGGGACAGTTTTTCGCACGATGACCAACCTTGCGGCACTTATAACACTTCCGCCATTTTTCCTTATCAAATTTCTCACTATCTTTACCACCTTTAGCGACTAGCGCGGTACAATCGTCTTTCCTTGAAGGCAAACGCATTTCTATAAGCCTCAATCGTTCAGTTAGTTTGTTTACTGTCCTATCTTGCAAAGGCACCGATTCCCACACACTTTTAAATTCGAAGTAGTCTTTCGGTAACGTGGACATAATGCGACTCATTAACAATAGATCTGGGAGCACAGTGTTCACCAAGCTTTTCATTTCTTCATTTAATTCACTGAAGTTGCGCTGAAGACGAGCGATATACGTCGTGATATCTTCGGATGCATCTTTTTCACAGCTGAAGAAACTCTCTAGAAGTCTGTCCACTCGTTGACTTGAACTTTGTTCATATATTGAAATTAGCTTGTCCCAAACTGATTTTGCTGTATCACATGAGACAGTAAGATCAATATTGGTCTCATTCATTGCAGTCATCAAGGTTAATTGAGCCAAAGCATCGTCCTTTTTGAATGCTTTTAATTCGACCCCATACTTAGTTTGATCAGCAACAGACGCCTCATCCACAGGTGCCACTGGCAAAGTCCTTGTACCATTTACCAAGTCAAGTACTTCATGGTGTCTTAACAGCAGCTCTATTTGCCGACGCCACTTACTCCAGTTTCTGGCCCCTTCTAACTTTTCAATCTTGATCTTAAAATCCATCTCTTCACCGATGGATGATAAATCTTACAAAACCAAACGCTTTTTTTTTTATAGGTTATACCGAGCAGTGAGCACGTGCTGTAGGTATCACGATTCACAGGTATCACTCAGCTTCACGCAGTTTCAATGCAGCCTGGGCCCATAACCTCTTGTAGCATTTATTATAAACATTATTTATTTATAAATAATGTTATAATCGTAAGCAAATAAACGTAATAATAAAACAACGTATCAAGAACAAGAATTGACGTGTCGACATTTACACGGACAACGGACAAGTACTACTACCACAGATATATATATAATACATAAAACAGTGTTGCCGCTATGAATGTTTTGTCATATTCTCAACAATTACTATGCATTAATCGCTCATCTTTTTCCTCATCCATCGGTATGCTGGGATACGGCTTTCGTGATTCGGGAATGCCTTTTATTTAGTTAGGTCAAACGAAGCTTAACTGTTCTTGTAATAAAGTGGACAAGAAAGGGTGCTTTATAATCGCAAATAAAAAGAAAAATAATTCTGAACTCTTATAAACAAACTTTATTAAAATAAGAATAATAATAATAAGAAATCCAATAAAATTCATGCAAAATACGTGAATATGTACCTCTTTACGACTTTTGAGCTCTTCCGAATTAAAACTATTGAGCAGCAACGCCAAGAACAAATTAAGCACCATAAAATTTCCCATAACGAGCGTTGGTAGAAATACTGCGAAGCAAGTGCCCGGGCCCTACAAATAGAGAGAAAAACAAGTATAAATTGATTTACTTTTAATTTGGTTCTTTAACTTTACTTCTGTCGTTTCTGCTCGCATGCAGTCCCAAAGAGGCTCGATCCACTCGCCGCACAATATCCGAAAAATCATCATAAACGAATGGAAAAAATCGGTAAAGTTCCACCTGTAACAATAAAACATTAAAACGTTTCCGCTGTTAGGAGTTGAAATTGAATACTTTCCTCGGAACGGGATCCGGATAAAATTTTTCAGGCGTATAATCCTTCGAAAAAAGTTGCATTCCTATCACAGCAAATATGTATATAACAATTACTAAAACGAAAGTTAGGTTTCCTAAAGCACCGATTGTACTAATGATAATACTTAATAAAACTTTCATAGTTATCCACGATTGCGCTAATTTAAGAACGCGCAACTGAAAATAATTCTTACGTTAATTACTATTCGCATGTAAAGGCACGGTCGTTACCAATCGCAAGCCTCGAAGCACCGACAGCCCGTCGACAAGCTCGAAAATTAAATCTAGGACACTTGCGGATACTATAATTAGATCGAAAATATTCCATCCATTCTTAAAAAAGTCCTTGCTGAGCGCCATCAGTTTCATTGTACATTCTAAGGTGAAAATGGAAGTAAATACCTAAAAATAGAGTAAATAATACATATTGTGGAAACCTTTTGTGGTAGGTAATGGGAATTACGTAGCATACAGGGCCAACGGAGGTAATACGCAACATAGTTATGATAATTGTATGTTCTTATTTGTAAGATTACATTACTTCAAACAATCCTACGTTTACGCAAATGCTTACGTTAGTGTGCGTTTAAATAAACGTATAGGTAAATATTTCATAAACCGTAACTCGTACATATCCGTATCGTTTCCGTAAATTTACTTCGCTGTTTACAATAAACCATAATAAATACGTAACTTTGAAACATTTTCAACCTTTGCGACTATGCCCAAGACTTACATAACGCTTACATATACGTACGTAAAAATTACGTTCATTGTAAACACCTTCGTATGTTTCTATACAGTTCAACTTTGCGAAATGTTTACGTTTTATGTATTTCTTACGTATACGTTCATTATAAACGCACACTTAAGTTTACGTTCATGCTAACGAATATTACTATTAATTGAAATTCACGGAATGTATCATGGTTATCTAGAAATTTAACGAATGATCGGTGAAATGCTTGTATACCCGATATGATCAGGCACACTCTGGTTCACTTACGTGATACTTGGCCTTGGTGAAATTGGGATTACTAATAGTGAAGGTCGTTAGATCGTGGTCTAAACTAAAAACCAAAGTCACTGAAGGTCAAGCGGTGGAATTCGTTCCTGAGCTCAATGTCACTGAAGGTCAGTCGATCGTGGTTGTTGTCTAAACGATAAACCAAAGTCATTGAAGGTTAAATATACACGCGTTTCTCCCTGAACTGCATGTCAGTAAAGGTCGTAGACGAGCATTCTTTCCTGAATTAAAGCAAAATCAAGGTCACCGAAGGTCAAACGTAGACGCGGCGATTCCAATGTGACTGAAAATCCCACTTGAAGGTGAACTAGAGGGAGAATTGAAGATAAAATAGAGAGCAAAATTCAAGGTGAAATAAAGCATTATTCTCAGCTCAAACAACATTATCGAGTTTTAAAACAAAGGGTGTATTGTTTTCGGGCTCAAGGTCAAACGTGTTTCAATCCTTCGAATCTAAATATATCCTAATGGCGAATATGTAGATAAGGATGACGCCTTCTCCAACATAGTGAAGGAGAGCTTTGTAAAACCATGGCGCGGGATAGTTTTTGCGTCACATTCCAAAACGCCCGTTATTCTCGGAGAAATAAGATTAGTAGATACGGAGCCACCTATGCGAGACAGTCACGTGACGCGCCAGATGTGAGGTTCAAGCGTGGTCTAAACTCACTGAAGGTCATCGTCGTCCACACAAAGGGGAAAAAGTAACCTTGCGAGGTAACTCGAGAGGCCCTCTCGGCCCCCAGATGTCCCGCTGTTGGCGTGTTGTGGTACGGACAATGTGCGTCCATTTGGCACGTTGTAGCTACTCTTATATGAATTTCCTCTGGCGATCGACTAGATTCTAGAGAGGATCCTTGCGAGGTTTTCTTGTCAGGCTTCGATGAGGGTGCGTGCCTGTTGGTCAGTTGATTATGCTTTACCCGTTCCGACAGTGTACTTCCACGACGGGAGCAGCGGTTCGCACGCAGTAAAGGTCCACTCAAACCGACGACGCGGGAATGTGGGCATGGGAACGTAGTCGGTGCGGTTGAGTTCATAATTAATATTAGTTCACTATCTGAAACTGACAGGCGGTTCGTTAGTTGGTTACTTCTCTGGTGCGATGCCCCACGTCTACGGTGAATATCAGTAGAAGACGTGGTCAGCTCATTAATTAACTCCGATCTTCCTTCGTCTTGTTTATTCACACAAGTGATTGGCTCTAAATCGGCGGTCTTTAAGGTAGGGATGGTAGCGTTTTATCGCCTTCATAATTTCTAAGCAGTTCTGATTATCTCTCGATGACGTTCTTCTCCCTGTGTCGATTTTTTTGTCATACGCGTGAGTTTTGTGAGCGGTTCGTGCGTTTCGACGGGTTATATACATACGACCACAGTTCTTATGCAGACTAGATACCGGCTACGACATCAGATTCTTCATTGAAGAAATCAAAAATGCCGTGAAAACAATTGCGGAAGAACAAACAAAATGAGGACTAGCAACGATAACGGCAAAAGCAACAAGGACAAATCGGCAACAATGACAACCACCAAAAGGTGCAACGACGATGAAAATTACGAAACGACGATGACGACAGCTGGAAACAAGTTCGAGATACTGAGAGCGTTAAGGTCCACTCAAACCGACGCGGGATGGATGCGGGATATATTTCTACAGCGGGTTATGCATCACTATGCATACTTACATATTCCGCTGTACAAGCATATTCCACATCCGTTTTGCTCTCACATTCCCGCGTCGGTGTGAGTGGACCGTTAGGCTTATAAATCCTAATACGTAACAGATTTATTTTCCTTAACCTATATCAATTATGTTAGTATGCAGTAAAAGTTGATACGTCAACCTTAACAATGTTCTTAATATTGTACACATTTCCTTATTATTATGCATTTCCTTGTTATTGTTGGATATTATATTTCCTTAATGTTAGCGGCCGCCTTAAATCTGTTCTAAATGAACACTGAGTGACGAAAACGACGAGGACGACATTGAAATTAAAACCAAACTTAAGACAACGATAACGACAAAAGTATCCCGAAGACGAAAAATAATAAACAAAACTCAGAACCTCTGATCCTATGGGAAAATGGAAATGGAATAAGATACAAAAAAAGCCATCTAACTGGCTAAGGCGAATCCCCAACGGAAAACGATTACAGGCAACTATTTGAACTTTTAAAGAACGGAGTGAAAACTATTTAAAAGTAGTGATCAGAAGAATCATGACCGAGACCAACTAAGAGGAAATCGCAGAAAATCAGGGTGTCCCTGATGAAAAAAAGATATCTAGCACCCCTGTTCTCGCAAAGTTGCGTAAAGATTACCTAAAAGTGGATTTTATTAAACTTGAATTCTTCTACGTACAAGTGGGAAGTCTCCGCATCAAAACAGAAGTGATTCGGTGCCACAGATGCCAGCTGTTCTGATACGCTCAACGCAACTGCCACACGATGCATGAACTGTGGTGCAGAACACAGCACGCATGAGCGCACAAAACCGCGAACGCTCCGAAATGCGCCAACTGCTAATGGGAGCATCTCTCACCGCATATAAGATATCCGATGGATTTTTAACATATACTTGGAAAACCGACCAACGAACGAACAAAAACTGAAGACACCACGATTTTTGGCAGAAGAGAACGGAATAAACGGAAAAAGAAAGAAAACGAGAGGCAATCAACTAACGAAGATAAATTGGTCACCGCTCTGAGAAGGATGGCATTATGGCAATTCAATTTGGCATTACGAACGCAAGAATGCACCAGAAACTAGAAGAAACTGATCAACATTTTTAGAAACAATGAATAATCAATGCTCGAAAACGAAGAGGCGTAGGGAAAGGAATTTTTCTTTCACTATGGATTTTGCGCAATTACTTCCAAGTACTCATTTAATTATATTATTCCCATTGTAAATCTTGTAAGAACATGTCAAATCGAACGCTTGACTTAGGTTGTTCGGTTTAGTAACGTTATTGATTTTTTCATCTTGCTTCCTTTTAGCACACCAAAGTTTGTTGTTTGATATAATCACTTTTTCAGCGCAAATTGTTTGTTGTTACGGTATTTGAATGTAAAATATACGTTGGAAAAGTGCAATAGATTTTCTTGATGCAGTGTGACGTTAATCTATTTCCTTTTGAGGAAGCTGCTGCGTTATTAACGAGCTCCTACCGAGTTTATAATTTTGCAGTGTCTGTCCGTCCGTTAGCACGATCACTCATAAACGAATGGACCGATTACGATGAAATTTTGCAGGTGGATCCTTTATCAAATTTGTAGATCGGAGTTCGTGAATTGGCAATGTAGCCCAAATAATAAAGTAGGCCCTTTTGACATCTCCGTTAGTTATGAACCGAATTGAATGAAATTCAATATGCCCATAGCTTTAGCCGTATAAAACGCAATTCCAAAATTTGAGCCTAATCGATCAGTATTCACAGTGCCCTTTGTGCACTCGACCATTTACAGACCGAATTGCAAACTTTCTTATTTATGGAGAGATTTAAATGAAATTTGATACATATACACTTTAAATAAAAGTAAAACTAACATGCTATAGCCATACCCAGGAGCTCGTTTGCTATATTTGTTTAATTTATTTAAATCTCGAACTGTTTATTTACTAAAGTAATAAGATTACCTAACTGTGTGTTATTTTCCTATTTTGAAGTATCCTTTTTTGAGTCGAAGCAGTTAGCCGAGGTATACAACAAAACCAACTGAGAGAAAGTAACCGTTATATTCTGACGACGCAACTTGACAGCTATTGATTACGTAGACGTTAGTGTAGCAATATAAGCTGCTTAACTTTAAATTGGACGTAGATAAAATTGCTACCATTCAATAGATTTTAACGTTTTAGTTGCGAGTCCGGCAATATAAGAAATTCATAAACTAATACAGAAGAAATAATCGAAACCACGGCAAGAAACGTGCAGGCTTTACAAAGTTGTAGTCCGCATTATTGAAAGAAAGAAAATTAGTTTACGTACGTTTTTCCGTAATCGTAGGTATTTGAAAACTGCTAAAATGTCCAATACCAAAATAACCATCAATGCAAATAGCTTATAACGACAACTTAAATATTACCTATGCGCTATATGACAATGATGTGTAACTTTAGTTTAAAGTACGTTTACAGTCCGTCGCCCTGTAATTTACTTCGAATGCAACAAAAAATTGATGTGTTTTCGATAAATCGTTTTCAGTGCTACGAGCGGAATGTGGAATTTATTCACGTTTATTGTACTTACTTTGTTTCCGACATCGAGCGCTCTGTGCACGGATTCGCTCATACCGTGATGTTCTAATGCTAAGAACATTGTATTAAGTACAATGCATACGGTAATAAAAAGTTCGAACAAAGGATCTCGTACAATTTGATAAAGCCCCTGCTGAAATTGAAGCCAACTTGTATAATTTATGCAGCATTGTTCACAGCACGAACAATTGCGATCAGGTATATCATCTGCAACAAAATAGCGTAATGCAAAATTTTGCATAGACAAGCTCCCTGCAATTCTATTAGGGAGCACGAAAGCACTTACCTATAACAACGATGTGGGATAGATAATCTGCAGGTAAACTATACACGTTATGATTCTTTTTCTTACAGGTTCCAACCCCATTACACTTAATTACTTTAATTTGTTTAGGACTCAAAGTTAACGTAACTGGAGTAACATCTATTTTTTGGTGCTAAAAACGGACGAAAATTTATAGAGATCGTTTCGAATTTAATACCTACTCTTATAACGTTTGGAGTGTGAGTTGCGGCATCTTCAGAGGTAGCATCTGCTTCTTCGTGATCGTCCACCACCCCCGAATCATCAAATGAAGATTCACGATTATTACCCTCGCTATTACTACTTGTTTGTCGACTATGTAAACCGGGCCGTAATGGAGCTGCTACATTCAACAAGAGAACTACCGTTATTAAATAAAGTTCTAATTTATTTAAGTGTCTTCCCGGTTTCACATGCTTATGTAAAATGAGGTAAATGTAATTGAAACTTTCGTGGTTCACTTTGTGGCAAATGCTATCTATTCATGCACTCAGGTCTATTAAATTCCTAGGAAAATATTAAAGAGGCATGCGTTTAAAGTGAGATTATCAAGCTGATAGAATAAACAATACTTCGTACCGAGCCTATTGGAAGGGTAAAGTGTTTCGGGACACTTTGTTTCTGAAAGTTGTACGTGTTTGACTGGAAGAGCTAATGAGAGTGCTTGAGTTGTCGGCGAACCACGATTATGATGAGGACTGGGACTAGGACTTGGGGTAACCGACCTACGTTGCTTTGTTGGAGTTGGAGAATTCGATTCCTCTTGCTTTGGAGAACATATAGACCCGCTATTATTACCGCCGCCGCCCCCTCCATTACTGTTAGTTTTCGGCCGTTTTCTTCGCCGAGTCTTCTTTCGTGAATATGAAGCTAATAAAACACCCTTTCGTGCGTCGATTTTTTTCAACTTGTGCTTAGATAATTTTTTTACGTTAATATGCGAAGGATCGAAACTAAACGTGGAGTCTTCACGGTGATCCACGAGATCCTTTTTTCGTTCCTGAAACATACATCGTCTTTAATCACAGCACATTTCTCGTTTATTACGTAATGGTGAAACTGTGGCTTTCGCTAATTTATCAAAATGGAAACGAGATATGAAATTTGCAGCAGACTTGGAAACGATTAAACTTAGATCGCTTCACGTAACCTGACACTTAGGAGATCTTGCAGTCATTCTAGCATGCATAGAATTCCCACACAGAATAATTAATTTAATGGAGCTAAAGACTTGAGCAAGAATTTACTTGATTTTACTCTGCTAGATTCGTGTAACGACTTTTCATCATATCAAATTAGGTAAAACGCCAATTACTTTTTTGTCATCTAAAGTTATATTATATTGTTCACGTTAATTTGTCCAGCGCCGTAATATACACGGTGGGCAATGATAAGTTTGGGTCGATTACTGTTTCGGAATTCATAATGGTCATCCTAATCCTATGAGACCGTTTCATACAAAATATTTTAGTTTTAGACGACTAAATGGACTGTCCCAGGCGCCTAAACTACGTATATCTGTGCTAAACTGAAGTTGTTACGCCCCGGTAATAACCTTAACACAGCAAACTCCCACGAGGGCGAGCCTCGCGGCGGAATGAGCGCGGAATACTAGGCGCAACCTCCGTAAGAGGACGCCAGTAGATAAACAAGGATCTCATAACAAGTCAAAAGCCATTCAAGGAAGAAATACGAAAGCATCACGCAATCACCTCCTAAAAGCAACTCTATAACTCCATCCTCACATTTAACCTCCTCCTTAAAAACCTAAAATGCTACTACAACCATACAGTCCTTATTGAAACCAAACTCCCTGTTGCTTTTGATCTCCAAGAAACTCCAACACCTTTTCGGTGATCCCAACGTGTCCTTTACTCAACTGTCCGGTCCCAAACCCCAAACTCACACCCCTAAACCTCCATGTTTCTCCTGTGTGATCCGCAATGTCGACCGTAATCCTACAATCCATAGAATACAATACAATCCCTTGTACGAATCATTACCATAACCGCCGCCGTTCAGAGGTCATCCATGCAATCGACCAAGCATTCCTTAACCGAAGAACATGGGCACCCTTCTCCAGAAACGTGGTAGCGCTTTCCACTCCATACATGGTCATCTCCTAATTCCACAATCATGGATTTCGTCGTCGGTACCGTTAACTCCTGTGGCATACGCCGCAAACGTCTCCTCATAAAAAAACCTCCTTCCCTCCCAGCCTGCAAACTGACGTCAGATACGACTTTTATGGCGTCATATATTGGTCATTATTTAACGTGCCCCAAACATGCCGTCATAACTCAAGTGTTTTCGGTTCGTTATCGAACATCATTTTTCGATGACGTTTTAACTGCTAATTTTGGCGCGTTATTATTGTAGTCCAGTAACCTTGTTTCTGAAAATAGGGGGGTACAATGCGTCAAATCCGGTAGTTCTGATTTTTTGTGGGATTGCTTATGTTGTTAACCCAATGTATAATCCAAGTTTTCGACATCGAGCGGCGAACGCAACATCGTCAAATATACTCAAAACCGGAATATTTTCAGGTTTTGACGGTTTTAACCCCGAAGGTCCCGTTTTTCGCCAGTAACTGTTCAATAAGTTTTCAAAGCAGACCAAATTTGATATAATTTAAATCCACATCCGTTTGTATAGATCTAATAGATTCTGAGATAATGCTTTTCAAAGATTGTCAATTTTTCGAATTCGAAAATCTTTCGCAATTTTTGTGGGTGACGTTTCTATTCTGATTTACACTGATGCCAAGAACACCAAATTTGTAGTAATCGATGTAGGTTTTCTTCTCCACAAAGTTGTGTGGTCTCGAAAATTATTTGGTTCGATATCTGACAGGTGCACTCGCGGTACATCACGACTCAATATGGCTCCAATGTGGCAATAGTTTTCGATGGATATCCAACGGCTATTGGAAAAAAAGGTACGAAGAGCTTTGAGCGTGTTTGCAGAGCCAAATCACATTCATCTCCGGAAATAATCTTTGATGAAAAAACCATACCTTGGGTTTCTCAAGAAAATCTCTTGTCAAACGACAAAAACAAAATTCGGTACATCAACTTGCTAAAAACAAAAATGGGAAACCACGACATCTGAGTACTGCAGGCAGAGGACGATGCTGACATGCTCATTATCACTACTGTTATCACTGCTGCTTCTTCTTATGATGTAGTGTTGGTCACTGGTGAGGACATCGACTTGTTGGTAATCCTCACTGGAATCTCACACCGACGTAAAACTTTTTTCAAGAAGTGTGGAAGAAGCAAAGCTGCCGATGTAATCTTTTCAGACATCACCTCCTCAAAATGCACATCAAAACCGAAGCTTTTTTTATTCATTCATACATTCAGTGGATGTGATCCTGCTTTTTCGGCCAGGGGAAAATGAAAATAGTGTCCACTATACAAAAGAATCCGGACCTCGAAAGGAAGGCTGCGGTTTTCCTCAACGCCACTTCTACACCTGACGAGAAGCTTTGTATGGTGGCAACCCCGACTCCCAGAACCGTGACGAGCTCCGGTACGAACTGAATCTCCACCACACAAGGCCTAGTCCCCAAACTGATGACGAGGAACGATGCCCCGCAAAACCTGTTGCGAATGATTTCGTGCGGTTGCAAGAAGGGTTGTGGGAACGTGTGAAGCTGCCGGAAGGCGGAGCTGAGGTGCTCCTCAGTATGCAACCACTGCAGCGGTATCGTGCGATAATGTGCCAGATATTGATAGATCGATTCCCCAGAAAGCGATGATCTGTCTGATCTAGAAATGGTAGAGGATGTATTGTGGAGAGATTTTACATAAAACATTGACAATGCAGCCCCAAACCATTCAAGTGAGGAAATCGAGGATGCTCAACCGGGCCCGTCCGGGAAAATAATATACTTATATGGAATATCATTTATACCTCTGTTTTCTTTTACAGCATTACAGAACAACAAAATATTGCTAAAAATTTTGGAAAAATCTATAAACTTTGAAAAGCATTATCTCGAAAACTATTAAGTCTATAGGAACGATCGTGGTCCCAAATTATAGCAAATTTAGTCTACTTTCAAAACGTATTCATTAGTTATTTTCGACAAACTGGTCCTTCAGGATTAAGATCGTCAAAAACAGAAAAAATCGAAAATTTCGCGGTTTTTTGTATATTTGACTATGTTGCGTTCGGTACCCGAGGTCGAAAATTTGGATTATATATTGGGTCAACATCGTACCCAACTTATAACAGTTTTAAAATAATATTAACATTTCTGTCCATCTTTCAATTTCCACCTGTATATTTTCTAAATTTTCTCGTCATTGAATGCGACCAATTTCTATTTACTTTTGCATTTCTGTATTTGCCTCTCCGATTTAACTTTTCTTCTTGTTGTTAGAGGACATTTAGTTTGTTTTGCTTTTTTTATGTTAACCATTAAATTACCTTATATCAAATACTGCCCTACTATTTGTCAGAGAATAACTATCCGTAGCTTTGGCTTGGGTAAAATTTCGAAACTTGTGGCGTCTTCCAGCAACGTGCAATAGAATCGGTCGTGTTCGATTCCCGAATATGGGTGTTTGATATATTTTCCAATGGTCGAATTGATTTAATAATTAGCGGTAGCATCTTTAATCAATCGATTACCCGTTGTGCCGACAATTTGTTTTTGGACGTTCGGTTACAATTTTTTCCGAAATGGACTTTTAATACGGAAAACTCAAGCATTTCAAATCGGGAACAAAGACCGACCATATAGTATTTTGAAGTCATTTGGGACGTATCCAATTCTTTTCATTTGTGTACTCTCTGACTAAGAGAGCCTTTGCAAGGGGGTTAATATTCAGCTGAATCCGGGGAAATAATCGACCTACTGCAGATGAGTGTGCTGTAAAACATCCCGTAGAATCATTAAAATTTTAAGGGCAGCCGAACGTAGATCATGAGAAATATACCTGCAGCACAAGCTTTGTTACCTTCGTAGAAGTTATTTTTGGTTACACCAGGACCCTGTGGTTGTCGACACCATTTATCGTTAGCGGTGCCGTACCTTCAATTTTTTTACCTTTCCTAATCTGGTGGCTCGAGATAAAATTGTTAGTGGAATTAGGTGGCGCCTGAAAGACTTGAATCGAAGCACCAGTAAGTATTAGTAGCGGGGATTTACTTGGAACCTTTTATAATAAATTGTTGTCAAAGTTTTTAATTCACTTACCTACTACCCTGAGTAAGAGCATATCTGTCTACGCTGTTAACTATTTGGCTAACGGAGCTAGCTGGCCCACCATCATTCTTCAATATTTTTGTATTAAAAAGGTCAAATGACTTGGGAATCTGGCCAATAGAAAATATCGTTTGCAAATGCATGGTATTTCCTTACAAAGAGCACAAGTGGGCTTCGTTTCCATTATTACACAGTTTATACCGGGTGATTCATTAGAAGTGAGGACAATTTGAATTTCCCGCAAATCAAATAAATTATGAAGTTGGTACTAACTGATGATCTTTTATTTAATTGCAGTGGTGTATCGTGTATCATCATGCTTTCAGTAAATCGTTTACTTATTTATAATCTACAAATACTGCTTCTGTTTTACCACAAATTATAAACTAACACTAGACACAGTCACGTTTCTTACATATTTTAGTGCATCAACTCTAAAAATTGTTCAAAATGGAAAATGTAATAAACCGCAAATGTCACACAACAATTAACGGCGGCACTGGTTTCTTAAATGACAGTCATGTCAGAAAAAAATTACTAACGAAATTCAAACCGTCAATCTAATAAAGCAAAAAATACTAAAACCTTACGCGCGAAATTCAAGCGATCATCACTTCTAATGAATCACCCGGTAGTTTTATTTTTATTCAGTACATGTAAGTTTTCACTTTTTAAGATTACGCTACAAGTTGTATGTGATGTTTCACTATACAATTATGAACATTTGGGTGTTTTAATGAAATACCAACGTACTTACGTAAACACCCTAAGGTTAAACTAGCGCGGCGCGTAACATTCATTGATTGATGTGAAAAAGGGAAATTCTGATATTCACCTTATTTGACTTGCTCTTTTCCACTAGGCCTATTAGCGATATATCAAAATAAAGGTTCTAAATGACGTCAGGTGTAACGTAATCAACTCACATATTTATAACGTCTTTAATGTACGTTATTAAGACGTATGAATGGCACGTCCTTAATACGTTATTATTCTGACGTCATTTGGGATGTGACATTTTGACGCGATTACGTTTATATTACGTGATTAATAGACGTCCCTTACGCCAAAAATCACCAATAATTGACGACTTACAGACGTCATTTTGCAGGCTGGGCTCCGACCAAATACAGATCCACTCAATAACTGAAACCCTGGTCTATAAAAAGGAATTTTCCAGAGCCAACTGGGAAGCTTTTGCCCAACGCGTCACAGAAAACATTCCGCCACATGAGAAAAACCCCACGACGTTTCTAAACAGTTACATATCTGTAGAGCAATGGAGACCTTGCTTATTTTACATGTTTCTAGCACAACCTTTTCAAAATAATCCAGTCAGCTAAATGGATGCTAACGGATGTAGGTTAAGTATTGCCATACACCGACATATAATTAACCTTTCTCAATGTACAAAAGCAGATGTGAAAGAAAGTAGAATAATACGTACCTCTTGAGTAATTTCCGCTTCTTCTTCGTAACTAAGAGCTACCACAGCCAGCATCAAATTGATTAGATAAAAAGAACCGAAAAAGACTACTACCGTAAAAAACGACACGCTTATGGGTCCACACGATGATAGAACCTGAAACAAACAGAAAAATCATTGTTATAAACCGTCAGAATATACCTGTAAAATATTAAAGGTTCCCTTGTTTACTTGAAAAGAGTCATTAAGCGTGTGTATAACATTGTTGACAAAGTTAGCGATCTACTTCTCACTGCGTTTATTTAGGATACGCTAAGAATGTACACTCGGAGGGTAAATTTCTAGGCAAACATAGGTTTTGTTGTGAACTAAACGAGGATTTCAATTTTTCTTCATTGTCTGTTTTCTGTTGTACATTCAGAGTCTCAGTCTAAATTTATTGAAATATAAGCGAAAATTCATTATATTACAGGGTGTAGTAGTTATATTTATCTACCGTAGGGAATTTACGACGGGATTATGAAAGAACACTTTGTCTACTTATCTGCTATGTTAAATGTGACACTGGCTGTAGCGAAAAACTATCAAAGATGAGTAACCCATCGTTTGCTTTACCATAAAAAATTGAATTAAAAACGTAATAATTTGAAATTCATAAAATTTGGGCGTAAAAGGGTGTTGCGGAACTCATTGAACTTAATAACTTTTAAATTTAATTTGTCATATATCACCTTCCAGTTCGTAACGGTTTTTTTTCCGCTTGAACATTTTTCTTAACATGCAAAATATACTCTAATTTAGATGTAAATTATTCCTGTAGCAAATTTGTTATTAATTTAGTATAGATTATTTATAGTTCTTTGTTTTGTCGTTAGAGGTTATCCTAGGGTTAGAGCTGCTTTTATCTAGTTCTTGGTCTTGTTGCTAGAGTGCACGCTTTGTACTTTTCAGCACTTAATGCTGTCTCATCTCCCTTTAATTTGCTCTTACGAATTCGCCATACTTCTTCTCCGTCAGTAAAGATTCTGTTTTCGCAGATTTCGAAGATTTGACATCGAGACCCGACTTGCCTACGTTACTTCCTAATTACTACGAAGATTCATGGCTGTTAGTTTGATTACATTGTATCCTTCAGATTAGTTGTGTTATTGGAGATTTTAGCTACCGTTGTTTTGTGAAGTAGTTTTGAAGTTACCGATACTTGGTCCGACGAGACCTATATATACGATATAGTCTCATTATTTGTTTACTCCGAAGAATTTGCTCGTATTATATTGTTTATGTTTTGAATTGATTAGATCAATCGAAATTTAGTCATTGGTGCATCGTAAAATATTTTTCTTGTCACGTTTATGCTTTTATCCCCGAATTTGTTCGAAAAATCCGTAGTTGAGACAAAATGTTGCTTTTGACAGTGTAAACTTATTCTAATTATTGATTCTTTTTCAGTATTAATTACAAGATGAATATCCGATTGCCTCCGTGTCAGACGTTACAATTGCTATTTAGCAATATTTTTATGCAGCGCGATTCGCTAACTCTTTTATTTGCTTGTTGTGTTATTGTCTGTTACAGATTTACAGAACTCGCCCTTCTGAATTCAGGCGGCCGCTATGACCAAAATTCAAAGGCAAATTTTGTTATTTTCGTCGACACCTTGATTAACGTTTTATTGTATACTGGTTTTCGATACAATCGAATTGTAATTATTACATTTGTTTGAGATTCACTTAACGATTTAGCTCCGTTGTTTCTGCGGCAGTCTGTATTGATATTAATATTTTTTCTAACGCACGTGTTGATCTCTTTTTTTTTACTAAAAATTAATTTAGATAAATACTGACACAGCAGATCTACAGGGTGTTACATGACCGTATATAAAAAAAATTGGGCGATAGAGGGGATCAAGACGAGCACTTTTCCAAATAAACCGAGGTGTTTCGTTTGGGAGGCACTCCCAAAGATGTGGTGAAATTTCGATTTCTTCTTTAATTTTTTTCTCAGCAATCATAAGAGTTACAAAAATGGGTTGCACGTCCTTGAATAGGTTTTCGGGTATGCCCTATCCGAGTTTGAAATTTTTGTTTCAAAATTCCTACCACGAAAGATTGCACCCCTACTTGGGGGTGCGAATAAAAATTCTGATTTCGACGAAATTGGGTATTTGGGGGTTTTTGAACATGAAAATCACGAATCTGGAATTAGTTTTTCCACCAAATTTGTTGTGTACTTACTTGATGAGTTAAGGGACAAAATTGTAGAACAGTTTTTTAAAATAACTTTTCAAACAAAAGTTATACTTATTTGAAGATTGGGCCTTCGGGTTAGAAAGTGTCCCCCGCCTACTAGTGATCTAATTTCGCTTACGCCATAGTTGTTTTTCAGTCCTCGAAGCATCCCAAATAGTGATTTTCCCAACATTTTGCCAGTATGATCAGCAAGGTCTCTTACTGCTAATCGACGGTTTGCAAGTGCCAATTCCTTGATTTTATTGACGTGTTCTTCATCAGTTGATGTGGATGGTTGCCCGTGTCGCTCTTCGTCCTCAACGCGTTGTCTGCTTTCATTGAACATTTTGTACCAATCAAATGTTGTTGTTTTTGATAGAGGTTAATCAGTGCACTATGCAGTGCAGTGTACAATGCAATAAAAAATGAGTTACTGTCGAGTCACCTATGGAATTTTTGTTTACATGGGAAATCGTACTTAACTTAAACTTCCAAATGCGACTCGAAAGCAACTCATTTTTGATCGCCCGTTACTTCTTTTCTTGAGAAAGAATTGGGATTTGGTGGTAGGCACTCTGCAGATCTATAGTACTGAATACAGTGTAATTTGAGATTTTCATGACAACTTCTTCTATATTTGGTAGTGGATATGCATCTAGTTGCGTGTAGCGATTTATAGTTTGCGAATAGTCAATAACCATCCTTTTCTTATGGTTCGTGTTATTAGTGATCAAAACTTATGCTCTCCAGGGAGACTGGCTTTCTTCAATTATACCTTCTCGTAACAGTTCCTTTACTTCAGCAGCTATGAATAGTTCATCCTCATGTGAGTGTTTGCGGGATCTTATTGCAATTGGTTTGCATTCTGTAGATAAGTTAGTAAATAATGGTACATCGGGCACGGTTGCTTCGGCTACAGAGCAAATTTGAGTGTTTGTTTTGGTCCTCCAAATGCAAGCTCCAAACTCGAGTGCATTTCCAATACATCATGACCAATGATCATGTCTGTGCATAGGCCTTTTACAATGAGAAGTTCTAGATTTCTGTATAAGCATTCTCCAATGCGAATAGTTTCTCGTGTGAGATGTTTCACTTGTGACTTGAGAGATGAGGAAGCCATTGATACAGTTTGTTTACAATTTTGTTTTCTTAGATTTAGCAGATTCGCCATCCTTCATAATTGAAACTGATGCTGCTTTCTGTATCGATAAGAGCGTCAGCCCGAACACCTTTTACGAATGCTATAACCATAGCTTTTGGAAGCGAAGAAGGTGCAGCAGCTGTGATATAAGCAGTGTAGTTTTTATATTTTTCTTTAAAACAGGCAGCGCTGTTTTTACTGCGACAAACAGTTGGAAAATGGCCTTTCTTTCCACAGGTATGGCACTCAACATCCACTGCTGGACAGTTTTTCCGAGCGTGGACAGGGCCACCACAAAAACAGTATTTACGTTTTGAATAATTTTTGGTTTACGTAGATTTTGGTATTACAGCTACTGTTTCCACAGAGAAAGACGGATTAGGTGAAATTCCATTGTCGATAGAAGATTGAGTTTTAAATAGTGCAGAATTTCTTTCAGCTGTTTCGATTGGCAAAGATAGAGTGTAAGCTTGATCTAAGGATAATGTTAGATTCTCCAAAAGTCTCTGACGGATCTCTGATGAAATAATTCCTGCAATAAATGCTCCTCGTATGTTCTCGTTTTTATTTGTCTCAGCATCCACTGCAGTCAATTGGCATTCCTTAGATAATTGTTTAAGTGCCTGGAGGTAAGTGTCAATAGATTCTCCAAACCGTTGACGTCTCGTGGCAAGCACATGCCTGGCGTAAATTACGTTTCGAGGCTTGATGTATAGAGCAACGAGAATAATAAGCGCATCAGTGTAAGTTTTACAGTCACATACGTACGCAAATACTCGTGGCGAGATGTAGTTTACCAGCAGTTGTAGCTTGACGGCTTCAGAAAGCAATTGAATATTACTTGTTGCAGGGTCCATTGTAGTAGAGAAAATGGAGTTACCGAAATTTAAAGGTTTAAAAGTTGAGAGCTTTGAATAAGTGACGTAGTCTCACTTTTTTAACCGGTTTTGTATACCATAAAAAAATTCAAACTTTCCTTAATAAAGCATTGAAAACTGTTTTTCAATATCTCTCACCGTTTTCGAATAATAAATTTTTAAAATTACCGCTGCAAATTCAATTTTTGACATAAAAACTTGAATATCGACGAAGCCCTTGGAGCAAAGGGTCAACTATGGGGTATCGTTGTACTCCAAATTCGAGGTAGAATCCGAAAATGTAAAAAAAATAGGGGGTCCCTATTTAAAATAACAAAGTTGATGGCTACTTCCGGTATTTCCGGAAGTGGCGCCATCTTGAAAATATTTTAGTTCAATTCATCATGTACCAAGACCCTTAAAGAACTTATCAGTTTATTTTCATTTTCAAAGGTTTTCCATATCTTTCTAACTGACGCTCGTCAAGAATGACCCTGTATACAAGCACAAGGTAACAAGGCATGAGATTCAGAATGACGTTTCTCTCATTTTACATGACGCCCTCTACCGGTGGTAGAGCGCAATCTTGGTGATCGCCGCTTTGGTACCGAAAGCTAGGCTTTATTCCATTTAAAATTATACATAGTAAATGAGTGACAAATTGACATACAAAAATAACAAACGATACAAAGTCTGATCCATTAAAGAACAATTCATATCAGTAGCCGATACCATAGAAAAGGACACTATCTTATATTTTGCAAAAATAAGTAAATATGTAGATCAACGAATAAATGAATCAGATAAACATCTCAGTCTGATTACTGTGATTACTGGAACGATTATTGTGACTCTAGTTCTAATAATGAATCTCCGAATATAGTTTGTAAATATCTGCATGGTAAATTCTATCGAGTGGTACGAAAAGTTTATGTTCATAACTTTACCATCAAATTCATCAAATCTAAACTATGGAGAATGTGGCAAACTTGTAATTTATGGTTCTAGCCTAAGCAAAACCGGAACAAAACTTTCATCTTATTCGGGTTATGATATTGAAACTACCTATAGAGCAAATAAACTTAGTTTTCATTTATAACCGGAAGCCAAAAACTTGTCTTTACGTGGTCACTGCGTTGCGAAAATTCCTCGATTTAGCGTTTGTAGATCCCGGGCATTTACATTTGGCTGTAAGTGTATACATTTATCGGGAATACAGTGATGTAAAGATCGTAAAAAATGACTGGTTGCCAAGAATCAAAGTTTTTTCGGCAACGGGTAAATCTTTGACAACGTACAGTATTATGCTAAGGGAAGATGCAAACAAAGACATAATGAAATGGTGAAAAGGCGAGTATGCAACATACATTTATAACCAAACTACGTAGTAATGGTAATAAAAGCCAGATTGTTGGAGCAACACTGAATAAAACATGATGTAATAATAATTGAGTTTATTGTATTAATTAAACATCATGCATATTGCCAAATTAAACTAATTTTCAGGGAGCGAACGCAGACCGAAAGTACGCTAAAAGAGGAGGTAGTGATGATATTCAAATAAAACGTGAATATAATATTGATTAACTACAATACAATACGAATTTTCCATTTGTTTGTAGAGACAAATTTGGTTAAAACCTCGTTCCAACTGTCTCCTGATTCTCTGCGATTCTCTTTATTTAACGAGCAAACTTGTAACCGAAAGGTACGGAATTTTATCTTTGATCTACCTACAAACTTGTGGCGATGAAAATTAAGCGAACTCTTTGTTATTGGGTTTCAGGCATTGAATTAGCTGTTGTTTCCTTCGTCTTAGAACGAAATTAAATTCATTTCGAGAATTATTATTTGAAATTGGCGTTTTGAAATATTTCTTAATTAAATACGAGTAAAATTCTTCTGCTAAATTATTTCCTTTGGTACAAGTTGTACCTAAACCTTCCGTTGGTGTTATTCAAAGTTTCGTAAGAATAATCAATAGCTAAAAGTAACAAAGCTTGCAAGTTTTATGATTTTTGCGGTTCGTCGAACTATCAGAGTAACTGAATTTCGTCTTGTATAGCACTGTTAATCTTACTTGATTCCGTTCCATACACATAAGTGGTAAGACTTGGCATATGCGAAGTGTCCAGTGGCATGAAAATAACTTGTCATTCGGTTACACCAATTCAGGTGAGCAGTCACGAGGTCTTTCTGCAGGGATGTACAAGTTACATAAACGTAAAGGAAATTTACTGCTCCACAACTTGGTTTTTGAAACTTTTTCTGAGAAACGATCTCCTGGAAGGCAAGGTAAACAAATATTGGCAAAAAGAATTTGGTGAAAATGATCTTTTCGAAAATCATCGACATTCAAACGTACACCTCAAAAACCGTTGACAATTCGACAAATATGTATAGAAATAATTTTGTTTCTGAAACCACTTTAGAAGCAACTACTTTCGTCTCTAACCGAGGCGAGTGGCGCAATGGTTGCGCTCACCGATGCTATTCGGTAGGTCGTGGGTTCGAATCCCGCTGCCGACTGCTCTGTCTGGGGTTTTGTCAGGGGGTTTTCCTCAGACATACGTAGCTTCGCATAATGCTAGCATTATGTTGAAATCTACGAGTCGAATGCTGGAGCAGTACTCTCCCCCTCAGCACCCTAACTCCGTTCCTTCCGTTCCCATCCCTAACTTTACCCATCCTTACAATCCCCTTCTCTGGCTGAAGAGGGCCAGGAAGCCCTGAGCAGCCCGCCTCCGGTATCCCTGTAGTCAGGGGTGCCGGAGGAATGAAACACGTTGGCCTTTTTCCTTTTTTTCGTCTCTAAAACGGGTGTAGAAAATGTAGTCATCATAGATGCGTTATTAATAAACTTGAAAATTTCCGACACGACCACGAAAACGAGTGAATCTGTTGCAAAAAAACAACGTAAAGCATCAGTTGCTTAATAAGTACCCCAAAGATTTGAATACAGATTTCACTGTTAAACAACTCCCAGGAAATGTTAGCAGATTTGAGCCTTATGAGCATGGAACATGATACGCTGCAGACTTTTGAGTATCAAGAGATCATCGACCAATTTTCGGTAGTGAAGAGTAGAAAAAATCATGTGATTGCATATTATTTAGTTGATTTGAAATGTACTTTAAATGTACTTTCTTGAACAATCAATATAAATAAATATAAATAAAAGGTATTCCTTATATTCATTTCATTATACTTAATTATTAACACCCCTCCCTCTAATAAACAGAAATTATTGCATAATCATAAATCATTATAGTAAACTATGAAAGATCTTTTTTTTGCTTGACCCATTTTTGCAAAGTAGAGATGAAGGCATACGGCGTATAGGCCCCATCCCTACCTCGTGTTTGGGGGTCCCGCACGCTGTAAATCCGGCCCTGCCGTTGAGTTCTAGTGGCACCAACACTGCATTAAAGGGCATTAACGAAGTACTAACGTTTGGCATAAAATTGGGGGAAACTCGAGTTGATTATGATTGCGATAAAATTAGAGTAAATAAGAGCTAGAGTTAAGATAGCTCAAGTAAGAAAAAAATAGGCATTTGTGCATTAAGCTCAGTTTATAGAGAATAGTTTGGAAATCGTAAATACCAAAAAAATTCGACCTTAAGTTAGAAAAACGTATATTCAGCCCGATAGATAGGAAATGAGCCCAAACGTGGGTTTATTGGACACTAAAAGGCACCAACAAAAGACCAACGAATTTAGTTCTGCCAAGCGTGAAGTTAACTAAGAATTTGTTCCCCTGAGTAGTAGGATGTGATCATTTGTACGGCATTTGTTTATTGCATATTGCAAGTCTGATTGGTAGCACCCCGAAGTTTTGATTCAAGTGACCATGATCACAAACACTAACCACCAATTTTACCTAGCGGTGATATATTGCATTCAATCCACTTATAAAATTTGTAAGTGTTTTGTTTTTACTCACTGCGATGCGATTGGGCACCTCTGTTTTTTACAATCGGACAGTGAACGCTACTGAATCTCAAGTTTACGTTTTTCACGTGTTTTAAGTTTTGGCATCTCGAGGATAAACTTTGTGACAGTTTGTGTTTTATAATGCATTTGTGTTTAAAAATTTAGTAATGGACAGTTGTTACAAACGTACATTTTTGAGTGGGCGGGGTTTCAGCCAAGGCTGCTCTACCAACCCAACCCACATTTACAAATATCCATGCCCAAACCAGAATTAGAACTAGGGACCCTTAGCACCACATTTCAGCTTTAACTGAACTGCGCCATACGGTCCGTCACCACTCCACTATGGAATGAAATCCTCCTGTAAGCCTGGCAGCTTGATAATTGCACCGGTTCTCACAGCGACGCGAACTTTTCGGGCAAGGTTGATACTTTTGCACCTCGTATACTAAAGAAGGGCACCACGACAAGTACTACGGCATTAGTGGAAAACTGAATTATTCCCAGTAAGGAGAATGATAAGCGAACACTATATATTACATAAAACCAGCCTCTGCTTAATCATCAAACATTTTCATGTGGTAAAATTAAAGTTACCATGCCCGCCACTTGTTTCGTGCTAGACTCTATTGGCAGTCTAAATTTTAATAGCGTAGATTTTGTAGAATCGTTTGAATCATTTATCTGACAAATATGAAGGGGTAGAATACATACATATTTTGTATGAAATTCTTTTAAATTCTTTACACACGTTCCGAATATTCACGGTATGTTAGTCTTATTAAGTATGTACAAGTATAGCGATGTTAATGGTCTGAAAGGTTTTTAAGTCATTTACTTTAAGTGAAATTTGCATTCAATCACAATCTCGCACCGTCGGCGCGTCGGTCGAATAAATGATGTGTAAACAATTTAGATTTTATGAAAAATTTCAAAGTAGATTTATCTACAAACGATTGGATAAAATAGAACGAGCACTTACCATATTATATACATTTTCCCAATAATCTAACGTAATGAGCTGAAACGTTGTGAGCATCGACCACAAAAAGTTATCAAAACTTGTGTAACCGTGATTGGGATTTTCGCCGACACACAAACATGTATGCGTAATGGGGCAGTGACGCGCCCCCGTTACATTTCCGCAGAGTAGAGGCTCGCCAGTTTCATTCTTTATCAACCAATTATCCGGATTATTCGTCCAGCTGAAACACAAACAATACAATCGGTGACGCCATCGGCCATTTTTATAGAAATTTACTTACTTAAACCAATTTTCGTACGATGCGTTGTGATCATCCATTTTCAGAACACATTTATTTCGTAGTTCGCCCATGTAAACTTGAAGCGCGAATAGGGCGAACACCATAAGGCAAAAAATTGTTAACGTCATTACCTCCGCTAGTTGTTTGAAGGAATGTAACAATGCGTTGATGATCGTTTTTAAACCTGTAATCAAAACACCAATATAAGTAACGCCAATGTGAAAAACATTAGTAAAGCTATTATCAAATAACGGCAAAAAACCTAAAGTGTTGTACCTATTCCCTTTTCTCTGGGATTCAATCGAAACATATCCGCGGCACGTTATGAATTTTATAAAATCGGCGTATTGAAATAGAATGTATACATATAACAAACAGACACAGAGATAAACGACAGATTTTGTGCGATGATTAGTAAACGCCTGTCACCGCAATTTTCTCAGGCTAGAACTAGCGTATAAACCATTGACATAAAAGACTAAGACCGCGAACGGATAATCGGCCAGCCACCCAGATCTACCAAACGATGCAAGAATATTCTTCAAGACACCTCGGTCAGGTTAAATAAATGTTGTTGATATTGGGGGTGGTCAGTATATTCATGTTGGTCTGGTAAGTAACATAAAAAGATTAATTTTAAAATACAACTTATGTGATCTTGTTGACACTTTAAAACTTAATGTATCTGTAGACGGATTGCCTTTAGCAAAATCATCCGGTAGTCAGTTCTGGCCTATTATGGGAGATATGATCATTAAAAATATACACGGCCCCTTTTATTATTGGTTGTTTTCATGGGCTTAGTAAACCTACTGACTCCCACGAGTTTTTATCGAGATTTGTAAACGAATTCCAAAATTTAGAAGGTACAGGAATAGAAGTGAATGGACAGCATTTTAATATACAACTTAATTGTTTTATCGCAGATTCACCAGCTAGAGCATTTATTCTAAACGTAAAAGGTCACAGTGAGTACTTTGGGTGCTCAAAATGCGTATGTGAAGCGAGGGGTCATCCGCAGCCCGAAATCAATGTACGTTTTTCCGGAATACACGGGAATACGATCGGAATGCTCGGGAGTAGTTGGGAATACACGGGAATAAATCGGAATACACCGGAATAAATGGGAATACATCAGGAATAATGCGGAATAGCTTGCAAAGCACACATACTCTGTAGTATGTTTCTCTCGATGTTTCTACAAGTGGTAGTGACAACGTCAGTTTTTCACTCGGTTTTTCAAGAGCGGTTTTGGTTCTTTGCAACATTTAAGAAGGTAAGTTTCGTATATTAATGTCACCCTACAACCGCTAATACTTTAGATTATGGCTATCACGTACTCGATCACGTACCTATTAACTCATCGACGTATTCTTTTGAGAATATGTCAGAGAGCGCAGTTTGCGATAAGTTGAAGTATAATTTTAATTTTGGAAATTACTTGCACAGTGAAACCTATTTATCTTTACGTATAGTTGAGGGCGATGGGTAAACCACCTAGTTATTTCCGTGTTACAAATGTTAGTTAATCCCAAAGTTAATCCACTAGTGTGGTTAATGTTCAGCCAAATTTTTATGGTTAGTGTAACCTAAAAGTATGATCAATAGTTTTGCTCTTTTATTACCTGCTAGTTGACTAAAAATATACGAGTACCTCTTTGTTCAATTCATAGAAAGAGGATTATTAGGGACTAGTCTTGAAATTCAGGGAAATGACGCATCCTTGCAACAATATCTTACTGTTCTATACTTTAGCAAATACTGCATTTCTTTGATTCTTCATATAAATGAAATGTTTTCTTTTTTTCACATGTACAATGCGTTCATTCCATTCTGTAAAAACGAGTGTAAAAATATTGTTTTAAATAGTCTGTGTTTGTTTAATTCGTAATTCGCGGTAATGTGTTCAATTAAAAATCAAAAAGCTGTATTCTTTTCGATTTTCCTTAATCACTGATTAACAGATTAACAAATACCTAACCGAAGCAATACTTTTAGCAATTGAGAGAGTCTATGTCTGGCGAAATTCCCGAGAATTGTCCTCTATCTTGATCGTAAATGGTTGAGGTATTTTAAAATTTCATGATTTCACAAGTTTGTGAAAAAATGAAAAATCATTAAAAAAAATTCTCGAAAAAAATTCATTTACTATGGTAGCGAATCTCGTAGCGAATATAGTCATTGACCTAGACGCGAATTAATCGGAATTAATCTATTTGGAAATCGATTTACATTTGATACGAAATCGAGTACGAAATAGTAACTTTTCATTACTTATATAGTTAGCAGTCAATATTATTATGTCGATTATTATTGCCTTTTAGATCAAAATGGCAGAAAATAGTTTACAGAATATTATTGGGTCTATGGTAGACTATTACCAAATGGAATTCCCAGAATATATTATACACCTTTTAAAAAGCACTGGTTACGATAACCTACTGACAATGTCCAAAATAGACAAAATTGGTTTTAAAAAAATGGAGAAATTTGCCCAAGAAAAGGCAAGGGACTTATTTGAACCTGAAGAATTAAAAAAATTGTTTGGTTGTTATTCCAAGAACATGGCGTTATTTGAAATACCAGATCCGCATTTAGACTTAATCGTGAAACTAAAAAATGAATGCATTAAAAGAATTTCAGTAGCCAATCTGAAACGTCAAAACGAAAACGAAGAAAACGGTAGTACCCCGGGACTACCTTAAAAAAAGCAAAGACTGCAATAAACCGTGGACGATCTGCAAGCACTTTGAAGTGTGAGAAGCGAGGTGAGAAGTCAATGGAGGAGCCGAAAGAGGATGTGGCGGTTCAACACGAGGTAGAACGCCATTTACAGAATCGTATTAAAAATAGTATTCAAAACTATTGCCATAAACATTTATCGCCGGAAATAGCTCAAGTGGCTCTGGAAAATATTGACCAAATTAATGTACAGGTAGATACTGCCGATACTGCAAGAATTAAATGCAATAAATGCGCATTTTCATCTACTGCATACGATGTAACAACGTCTGCTTCAAGAAAAAATTGGAAAACTCACAATTTTATTAAACACTTCCAAACTCACTTCAAGACATATGCTAATGCAAATAAGATTGTGGAGTCCAACCACACAGGAAATTAAGAAATTCAGATTTGTTGCAGTTTGTGATAACGACTCCTAACAAATCTACTTCCGTTGAAGAGATCAAAGTAATGGCTAAAGAACGTAATCCTCAATCTAGTCGCGATAATCCCGAAAACCACACGATTGAAGCAACAACCACAGAAGTTCTGTTTTCAGACAAGCCAGCCCTCGTGCCAGGTTCAAAACTAGTAGCATCGCCAGCAGCTTATGAATTACAAGATGAGTCACCTTTATTATCGCCTTCCCTTCAACCAGATCTGGATCCAGATTTTCCATCGAGTTCCCTCACTCGCATTCCCCTCATGCCACTGATGAATATAAATAACATGAGTATGGCCGATTTGGACCAAGACCTCGAGCGAGATACGTTTTTTGCAGAGTGCAGGAATATTGAAGAGGCTGAAGCGAAAGCTAAAGTTCCTGCAACACTACGACAGCCTCTAAAAAGTGAATGTTTGTTAGACAGAAATTCTCGAAGAAATAGGAAAATTCGAGTCTTAAGTTATTTTACCACAAATCAGCCAAAGATTACTAATTTCATTGAAATAGTTAAAAAGCTAGAAGAAACAATTCATTTAAACTTAGAAGCTCAAAAAGTATGGCTCTCCAACTGTAACGATAACTTTAAAAATCTGACGGATAAGGCTGAAATGGAAGTTAAAAGTATGTTAAAAAATGAAAGTAATTGAGATGAACAAAGTAAAATAACAATACGTTTACTAAATATTTTACAAAATACGGCACTGGACAATATTGGAAGACAACACAACAAACAAAGATTTGATGAACCTCTGAAATTGTTTGCCCTATATGTGTTAATTACTGGAGGTAGAAGATTGTACAGCCTACTTTACACCAACTTACAAAAGCCGTTGCCCTCTCTCAGTACACTATATAGGACATTGGATGCAAAATTACCTCCAGGTGACGGTGAAGTAAGATTTCTCGAGTTGAAAGAATATTTGCTGAAAAGGAATTATCCACTAAAAGTTTTTTTAAGTGAAGACGAAACAGCAATAGTGCAGTGCGTCAAATACGACGCCCGCAAAAATAAGATGGTTGGTTTCGTTTTACGTTTATCAAAAGAGAACGGATTTCCAATAACTAATAATTTCTTTGTAAATTCTTTACAAGATATCCAACAAGCATTTGAAAACGAAGAAATTGCGATTGCCAATAATGCCTATGTCGTTATGGCGCAGCCAGTGGTTGTAAATTCGCCAGCGTTTTGCTTATGCTTTTTCGGATCAGATAATAGATTTTCTTCAAATGATGTTTTTAACCTTAACCTTCAGTAAAGTGCGTCACTAAGGTGTGGTCCGCGCCGACTTGAGTGTTTTTTATGTAATTTTGAAATTTTGTTTTTTTTTGTGTGTAACGTATTTGGATTAGCAATTTTGGACATGCACCGAATGTAAGTAAACTTAAGTTTTAATTTTAGTTTTTTTTTCTTTGTATTAATTGTTTGTGTCTCTTGTAATATTTTTCATTGTGTGTGTGTAATAATTAAATTTGAATTTAGTAATTTTCACAATAATTGCTGTGTATGTCATTCGAACGATTTCATTTCCTTTCATTTACTGTTTTCTTTGGATACTTGCCCAAGATCCATTTTATTCAATCAAAATTATTAAGATTGATTTGGAATTTAAGGTATTTGGTCTAACTCACTATCTGGTAGGAGTTAATAATTTAATTGAGAAAAGAGTCGAATTCCTCCTCTGTGCTAGGGAGTAGTTTTGTTCCAAGGAAGATAAAGGTTTGAGCTAGCTAGGTTTGTATAGGTGTTTTGTGTACGGTCTTTTTGGTCTACGGATCGGTGCACACAGCAATATAAATACATAACCCTTCTTCGTTAGTCTTTTATTTCAATTGTATAAACGCATATCATACGTCTGTTGAGCGGTCAAATCTATTTTGTTGTAATTTTTAAAGTTTATTATTTATTATGGGGAGAATAGAGCTTAATGGGAGGGAGGGAGGGAGAGAGAGCGGTGTTACAATCGCCACTCTGACTTGAATTGATAGACAACTTTGCCAGAGCGCGATCTACAATC